AGTTATTATATATCCCTCAAAAAGATAATTGCCTTTTTAAAAATAACCAAAGACAGCATGATTTTGTTAGGATACAAAAGCCATCTAAAAACAAATAATAATTTTTAAAATTGTCCCATGTTAAAATCAACCAATAAAATGTACATAAGAATGGATGTCTGAAATGCTCTGTTGCATAATGTCCTTTGTTGGTTTCAACCTAGTCATTATGTTCCCTTTGTGATTATTCCTGTGTCTCTTGTTCTTATTCCATTAGGAGATAACTGAGATGTGGAACATGCCTTCATTTTTGGGTCTTTTGTTATCACAACATCTAACACTTCCTTAGATGCAAAAAATATTCTTAAATAAATACTTTTTTTAAGAAGTTTTACCATATTTCATTCACCATGTTGCCTGGCTTCTAAAAATAGTGATTCAGGAGTTATCAGCAGTAGGTCACAACTTTAATTATTCAGCAACTAGCATTTTTGCATCTTCAAGAATCCTTGATTAACAGCATCGTTTAACTATTAGTTGTTCCAAGAAGCTCTTTAGAAATGACCAAACGCTAGAGGACCACTAAAACAAGCATCCCAATTCAGTTTATCATTTTAGGCATTTATGACACTGTTTTAAATTTTTCACTTTTTTGCTACAGTGCATGTGCACTCACTGGAGAGAGACAGGGGAAGAGAGAGAGAGAAAGGTGAGAAATCATCCCCTGGGGTGATGACCACACCACAATCCTTTCTCTTTCATCCTCCCCTCAGGATTTTGGGCACACAGGCACACATGCCCAGCATGATTTTCAAGCTGTCAGGTCCTGGATTTGCACCACAAAGTTGGCCATGAGGGATCCAGCCACCTTAAACTCCACTCAATCTGCTGGCCCAATACAGATTTTTAACTGGCAGATTTTCCTTTCCTGGGATGAGCAGTGGCTTGTAAAATGTGTCTTATGGTTCAGTCTCTAATAATATTTGCTTTCAGACTCAATATATCTTTATTAATTTGCTTATTAACAATGTTAATAATTGGGTCAAGTGGGAATTTTAAATTTTCAATTTGATTTACTAACTAAATTTAAAAGGCTATAATCTTTGAAATTTGAGGATGGAAATTTTAATTCTCTCTGAGACTGTCAGCCAGATACAGTCCAATGGGGGAAATCTTTTTCCACTAGGTGACTTCAATGGTCAACACAATTTTTGAGAACATTTGTTAATTATCCCACCTGCTATAAAATATAGTTGATTTAGAATCCTATCTTATTAAGGCAGGAGTTTTAGAATTCAATTAGTTCAGACTGCTCAGATGTGAGAAACTAAATTAATTAATTAAAAAAGAATGGTTCCTGTATTTCCTATCATTTGTCTGTTCTACTCAGAAATCTATCTGCAGGATGATTACAAGGGACATGCTCTGTGTCCCTCCGTAATTGAAATCCGTGTGGATTGCTCAGTCACTTTTGGATACATGATTGTACTTTCACTTGTCTTCAGCCTTTCTCTGCTGCTATCCAAGGTCATTTTTGGATGGGAATTTGGAGTATGGAGGCTTGGTTTACATGGTCCCGTGCAGTGAGGGATGAGGGCTGACATCTAAGGATACCTTGCGGATCCTAGTTGATGTCTGCCTTAGACAGCTTGGAGAGGTCTGTTACCAGTACGGCTACAACAGGTGCCATCTCATCAGCTGGCACTCACTGCTGGAGTTTGTGTTTCAGACATTAGTTCCCATATAAAAATCCATGTACACTGTGGCCGTTGTCCCAGCCTCAGGCTTTGTCCACCTTTTAGTCTTCTCTGAAGCGCTATGCCTTTTACTACTGGGGCATACAATACCTTCTGGGTACCTTGCCTGCCACACACAAGCCTTGAGAAGTGTGGTGTTAGGTTTTTCTTTCTCATTAACACCTGTCCAATATTAAAGATTCGTGTTGGATATGATTGCATGTGGAGGTCCTTCTATGGGCCTGGAACCAGCCACCTCACAGTCTCCCTCATATTGATCTGGGCATTTCTATCACTCTCCACAGCCCTCTTACGGATCCCCCAGAGGAAAGAAGTGCAGCAACTGCTGAGGTCTACTCCTTGTCATTGTTTCTGTTTTCCTCCATGAAGGTCACAACGGGCTATGCTTTCCCTCTCCTGATTATTGTAGCCTAATTATTCCTACCCCTTAACATATAGAAGATAAATCATCAAGATCTATCTTGGCTCTCAATGTATCAACAGGAGTTTTTTGTTTTGTTTTGTTTTGGTTTGGTTTTGGAGAGGTTTTTGCTATAGGGTGCATGCACTCACCAGACAGAGAGAGACAGAGAGACAGAAAGCGAGAAATCACCCCCCATAGGGGATGGCCACACCGCAGTCCCTTCGCTTTCGTTCTCCTCTTGGGATCTTGGGCATGCACGCACACACGCCCAGTGTGATTCTTAAGCCACCGGGTCTGGGATGCAAACTGTGGGAGTCCAGCAACATAGCCATTACGCTAACTGCTGGTCCCTCAACAGGAGTTTAAAGAATGTTAGTGCCCTCCCTTCTCTAATGACTCAGACCTAGAAATAGAAGGCTGCAAGGAAATAGAAAATGAGTAAGAAATGAAAACATGTTGCTTAATATTTTCAAAAATTGTCTTTGTTAAGTCTAAGTCAATGGTTATAAAGTCTGGCTGCCTGTTATAATCATTGGGGAGGACGTGTCTGAAAACAAAACAAACAAAAAACACTCAGGCTTAGATTGACCACAGAAAAATTTAATCAGAATATCTGATACTGAAGGCTTCCCAGTGGCATGGTGGTTAAGGCAACTGGATTCTATATGGTCAATGGCATGGTTCGTGTCCTAGACCCAGTGGCTTGAAAAACACTGAGCACAGATGCATGCATGCCCAAAATCTTGAGAGGAGAATGGAGAAGAAACTGTGCTGTGACCATATCCCCTGGGAGTTGCTTTCTCACTTTCAAGCTCTCTCTTACTCTGTATTTCTCCATCTCTTGCTAGGTAGCACACACACCCTATAGCAAATTTAAAAATAATAACAAGAATTTTAAAAAAGAATATCTGATACTGATCACCCTGATGCTGGGAGACAGAGAATTGCTCAGTGTCACTTAATAACTAAGTCCCACCCCATGGGGTGTCTAGGTGCTCTTCCTACATCCAACACTGCCAAGCTGATCACCACACCAAACCAGCTACTTCTCTTCCTAAATATATATACACCCCAAAGATTATTGTGTGTTTAAAGTGAAATGTAAGTGTGTGTAGTATGTGTGTTTAAGACATAACTTTTGTCCAAAAAATAAGGAAAAATGTTTTGCATTTTTACTTTACTTTTTACTTTCATTATAATATTGTGGTAGAATTTTTTAACTCTCAGGAAAGAGTTAAGGAAAATATCCGACATCCTTACTATATGAAACGTTAATCTCATTGCTCGCCAGTGGTTGTGGAGAGCAGTTTATTTCTCTGATCACTTTAGCACTGCCTATTTGCCCTTCCTCCCTAACCCCATCCCAATTCTGCAAAACATGTTTCCACATTTGGTTTCCCTAGCATCATTTTGAAGGACTTATAATGCTTTAATTTTCTTGTAATCTGTGGGAAGAAAGAGAAATTGAGCAGAGGTATACAACTCGATTTTTCGTTTGTTTGTTTGTTTGTTTTACTGGAGATCTCTAAATCCTGTTCCAAAAACCTGAAAGTGAAGGAAACACGATTCTATAACCACTAACTTCTAATCACTTCCAAAGGATGAGGATGAGTGATATCTAAGGTCCTTTCTAAATTTAAGTTACCATGTATTTTTTAATCTCTTTTCTTCAATTTCGAGTCACATTCTTTCTTCCCCTATCCCTTCCTTTTCTCTTCCTCACTTCTCTTCCCTCATTCTTCCTTCTTCCTCCTTGGAATGAATGAACGAATGAATGAATGAATGAATGAATAAAAAGAAAGAAACTTACAGCCATTTGTTTCTATGCAACAGAATAATTCTTTCAAAATGATGGGACCAGCTGTTAGTGTAATGGCTATGTCACTGGACTCCGACGTAGTTGACCGCGGTCCATGTCCCAGACCCAGTGGCTTAAAACTCACACCAGGCATGTGTGCGTGTGTGCCCAAGATCCGGAGAGGAGAACGGAGGAGAAGGGATTGTGGCGTGGCCATCCCCCCGGGGGATGATTTCTCACTTTCTGTCTCTCTGTCTGTCTCTGTCTGTCTGGTGAGCACACGCACCCTATAGCAAAAACCTCTCAAAAAAAAAAAAACGATAAAAATTAGTCTCCTGAGGTGATCAAGGCCAGCAGCCAGCTGCCTAAAATTTTCCTCCTGCTCTTCTGTATTAAAGGGGTTCATCTTCCTAAGAGAAAGGAAAAAAGAAGTTGGGAATGTATGGGAAGGAGCATGGCCTATTGATTGTCAGTTTGCTTTTCAGCTTCCTTATTTTCACCATAAACTCATTGTTCCTTTAGTCTATGGAAAACAAATTCCGAGTCACTGGATTGCATAATCACCATTAAAAACCAAGTTTACTGTGGGATTTGAGCTGACTGAACTCAATGCGATTTTAGTTTTCTAACTTGGGAAAAGCAAGCAGCCATCTAACAATGTCACACCGTATAAAGAGACATGTTTCCACGGGAGGCTGTGTGCACATGCCCACAAGGGGTATCATTCCAGGTATCTCTGGACACCCTTGCTCTGTCAGGTTAGCAGCTATAAATACTAACACCCACTTCTGCAGGCAAAGCCCAAGTTTCCCCCTCCCGCCCCCTATTTCTCTGGGTGTTATCTGAGAATGGTATCTGAAGGCTTTTAACTGTGAAGGGTAAAAGGGTATCATGTACTTGGTCACTGGTCTCTTGATAGAGGTGGCTGTGGCATCTAGAAAGTGCCAGGAGTGACTTACGTTATCATGGCCTTTGCTCAGGCTCTGCCGAGTGGGTCATCAATAAATGCACTGGTCAGAACCTTCACACCCCAAGATTCCATTGTCTGTTTTTCCATTTGCAGCCTGGATGTGTAAATACTACCGAAGTGGACATTAAGAAGTCATCCAGAATGAGAAACCCTCACAAAACGCGGAAGGTAAGGCAGTGTTTGTTGCTCTGATCCTGGGAATGAGCTGCCTGGTTGACTGGACATTAGCTGTGAAGACTTCTTCCCCATTTTGTGGCATATCTCCCCTGCTCATCCTGGCCCCTTTCAGTCCTGCTGTCCACTGGAAATAGCCCCATCCCAGTTCTCAAGCATGGCAGCATCTATGGCAGAGGGTTTGTGCCAAATAGCTCTGCCAGGAAGGGAATGGGGAAGCCGAGGACCTGCTGATCTCCATCCCAGAGAAGGGCATTGCCTTCAGAGCCCAGGAGATAGATTATCTGAGGAAAAGTGATGCGATTGAGAGAAGGACATCTGTAGAGAAAAGTCTGAGAAAGTAGGACAGCTGAAAGATGTTTAGTGACAGATACAGAATGAGGACCTCGTTTCACATCAGAACTTTGTGGCACTACCCTGACACAGGGTTTGTGCGTTCAGTGTCTAGTACGTGAGGGAATAACTAAGGGGAGAAAAGCTCCCTGAAATTCAGTGGGAGTTTAAATAACTCTTAATAACACTTCGGAAACGAACACCAGCAGTATATACATATTTTTAAAATAACACACGTAAGAAGGCATTTTTTATTCATTCCGTAGAAAACACCTGACACAGGGTCCAGCAGATGATGTGTGATTATATTACTGGACTCCCTCAGAGTTGACTGTGGTTCAAGTCCTGGACCTAATGGCTTATAACTCATGCCAGATGCATGTGTGAACATACATGCCCAAAATCCCAAGAAGAGAAGGGATTATGGCATGGCCATTTCCCCTGGGAGGAGATTTCTCACATTCTGTTTGTCTGTCTGCAAAGCATACATGCCCTATAGCAAAAATCTCCCTTAAAAAAAAAAAAGGGAACTAGCAGGTGGCATGGTTGTTAAAAGTGCTGGACTCCCACATGGCTGACTACGGTTCAAGTCCCAAATCTGGCAGCTTACTTTCTCACTTTCCCTCTTCTCTCTCTCTGTCTCTTTCTGGTCAAATTGAAAATGATAATGATAAATAAAGTTTAATGAAAGAATCTTTAAATTATTCTTAAAGAATTAAATAAAAAAGAAAGCACCTGACACACATAAGACTTTCTGACCCATAGCAAACCCTCTGAACACATGAAGTTTGAGGCCTACTTTCTGTGACATCTTTCCTATGTAGCAGCAGCATTTCCTAGAGTATGTGCCCCTGCAGTACGTAGTAAACATTTTATGTAGTCTTGTTTGTGTTGTTTTTGCTTCTATCCCTGGGAATAGAGGATCATGTTCAAAGGTTGTAACCTGATCCAAGTACCTTTTCTTTCCCTTAAGCAGCTTACTATGGCATGAGGCGATAGAAACCACAGAAAGTGCCCCACAAAACCCATTCCATATGATGCTCCAATGCATTTGCCAGTAGGAGCGCTGAGAGAAAAAAAGCAAAGCAAGACCACAGAAGGTTGCCTGCTCGGTGTCTCCTGCAGCTGGCCCTGCCTGGTTCCTTATATCTTCTGCTCATGGCACATCCAGAGTTCATAGCAGGCGAGCTTAGCAAAATGAGGCTAAAAAATGCTATAGGTTCTCCAAGCAGTGCATTAAGCCACCTCTCACTACTTTCTGAATTGTGAAGAGTTACTTTTCAAAATACCTTACTCTGCATCATGTTTCCCCAACAGACACCAGCTCAGGCATGCTTCAATTTGCAAGGGAAGGTGTGTGAATTAACAAGATAGAACTAACACATGAGAAAGTGATCTCTTACACTCTCCTTTTAGCACTGCGCTCAGTATCAGCTTCTTCCCCACGCTCCCTTTTGAAAACTTGAAAAGCATACCACCAGCTCTCATTAGTGATGGGAAACACTGGAGGCATGAGGCTTTGCAAAGGGAAATGCTGTGTAAAGATGGGATCATTGAACTTTGGTTCTATTTGTCTAAAATGCAGTCTCATTTCTGTGAATCAATACTGGTACAATGACAGGGCCTAACTGCAGAGCTGTGTAGCACTAAAATTTACTAGCGAAAAACCAAGTTCTGAAAAATCCAACAGCTAGTGGCCGGCATCACTTTGTTTTCAAAATTGGAGAAAAATTGATTTTCTTGACTTTAGATAAATACAATTTCTCATAGTCAGAAGGTTTAAATTTGCTAGAATTGCCACAGATGATAATGCTATTTTACAGAGATAGTTACAGGACTCCAAGCTTCTTGCTGACTTTGTCCTTTAGATTTATCACCCCCAATATCTTATCTCCTATTTGGTTAGGAACTGGGATGATCCACCTAATCAATAGATTTAAAGTCTGTACTGTACACCAGACATGCATTGATCTTTCGGAGTTTCCCAGTGAGTGGAACAGGCAGTGCTTTTTTTCCAGTTCATAGTCCAGTAATAGCGCAGACACAGAGCAGGTAGACAAAAGTCTGTATGTGTGTGTAATCATATGACATGGTTAAGCTTTATGTATTAGTTTGCATGGGTTGCCATAACAAAATCTCACAGACTAGGTTGGTAGCTTAAACAATACAGATTTATAAGCTCATAGTTCTGGATACTAGAAGTCCAAAATCAAGATGCTGGCCAATTCAGTTCCTGGAGAGGGCTCTCTTCCTGTTTATAGATGACTGCCTTCTTGTTGTATCCTCAGTGGCCTTTCCTGTGTGTGGGCACAGAAAAAGAAAGAGTATTCTGGTGTCTCTTCCTCTTCTTATGAGGATATCAATTGTAATGAATTAGAGTCCCATCCTCACGACCTCTCTTAACCTTTATCACTTCTTGACAAGCCTGTCTCCAAATACAGTTCCATCAAAGGTTATAATTTCAACATAGGAATTTTTTTGTTTTTTGGAGAGGTTTTTGCGAGAGGGCACATGCACTTGCCAGACAGAGAGAGACAGGGAGACAGAAAGCAAGAAATCACCCCCCAGGGGGGATGGCCATGCCGCAATCCCTTCTCCTCCATTCTCCTCTTAGGATCTTGGGCATGTACGCACACGCACCCAGTGTGAGTTTAAGCCACTGGGTCCAGGACTTGAACCGCGGTCGACTACATGGGAGTGCAGTGACATAACCATTACACTAACTGCTGGTCCCAGGAATTTCAGGGAGGGAAGAACAACTCAATCCATAAAATGTTACAAAGGAAATTTTAAAGGTTTGTGATTCTAAATTGCCATAACATTTTATCAGTGAATAACTTGTCCGTAAGTAGAAAACTGTTTTGCCACCTTCTAAAGATTGTACAACTTTGTCCCTGGGGAGAAGGCCATTTTGTGATCACAAATCCTAGACAAAAAGGGTAGAGACCAGCCAACCACCTTCTGGAAGTTACTTTGCCTTCACTGTCTCCTTACACCTTCTGTTAGTTATGTGATTGCCCTCTGTCTAATACTACTGCTGATATGGAAGTGAAACCCAGAACTGTGTTTAATATGCTGAGACACCTTTAGCAAAGAGAATTGCTATGCATTCCTTAGAGAGTCAGCTATGATATTATTTTTTTATTATTACATGCCATAACAAGAGTAAAGAACCCAATAAATCTCTAAAGTAATTATCTAGCATTATGTGCCTAAAGAATATCAGAGTTATTGTATTGACCAGGGTTCTCCAGAGAAGCAGAATTAAAAGGATAAGTAAATGAATATATATTTAATATATAATAAATTATAATATATAATAAATTCCATCATATTTTATATATTATAGTATATATAAAATATATGATAAATAATACCTTATATTATAGTAATATAAAATATATGATAGATAAATATAAAATGTATTACATGTAAATTTTTATTATATATAAATTTATAAATACAAAATTTATTACAGGACTTATCTGACACAATTACAAGGTGGAAGAATCCCACCATGGGCCATCTGCAAGCTGGAGAAATAGCTAGTAGACTCACAACCAGGAAATCCAATGGTGCAGCTTATAGTCCAAAGTAGAAGGTCCAAGCTCCCTCAGGAGACTGCTGGTACAAGTTCAGATTCCCCAAATTAAAGAATCGGGAGTCTGTCTGGCCAGAGAGGTGTAGGGGTCGAGCACCATGGGAACTGCACACAGCCAAGGGATAAGCCATGGAGCAGGGACAGAATAAACAGATATACAGGTGGAGGGAGAACACTTGTCACACTCTAGAAGGAAGGGCAAAGAGGAAGCAGAAACCCCCACTTCTGTTTGTTCCTTCCTTGGATGGTGCTTCCCCCACACACATTGACAGTGAATCTTCCTCTTTCAGCCCACTGGTTCGCACACCAAAACTGCCTGAAAATACTCTTACAGACACACTCATGAACAATGCTGCAGTGGCCATCCAGGCATCCCTCAGTCTAGTCAAACTGACAACTAAAATTAACCATCACAGGAATGTGCATTTCATTTTGGGATGTTGTATTTACTTGTTGAATTTCAAACATGTTTATCAAATGTGTGAAAGAAAGCTTACATGTATAACTAATTTGACATATTTTGAAGAATATAGGATTAGACCATTTTCAGATGTCTCTTTTTAATTTGAATATATCTTACTAAAATACAGGGAAATAAGTAAAAATGTATTCTTTCAAATATTTGTGAAAGAAGGTCACGTTCCTTATCAGGAAGAGATTTGCTCTATCTAGACAAGTTTTGAGGAGTACTATATACTGGTGTTCTTTAGTCTGTTACTAAAATTTTTACTGCAATAGGCTGTGTATTAGTCAGAGAACCAAAACCAACAGGATCTACACACACACATACACACACACACACACACACACACCATATAAATCTCGTTGTATAATCAACAGGATTTTATTGATGTGAGTGTGTGTGTGTGTCTGTGTCTGTGTCTGTGTATGGAAAGGGAAAGA